CAGGGACGTGCGGAGAGGGCAGCCACGCTGCTGGGCCCACAGCAGCTCTTCATCTCCTCAGGCCTCTCTGAGGGCTCTCTGATCCCCCGGCTTAATGCTTTCCCCCTTCCAGCAGTCATTGTGCATGAGAGTACTTCTCTCCCTGGTCCAGTCGTGTGATGGCAGAGTTGCACGAATGGAAGATGCTGAAATTCAGGGATTTGAGGCAAGCTGCGGAGTCTTCGCGTGGGGCTTTATTCACAGTCCAGCAGCCCTTCACACTCTGTATTGCTCGAGGAGGAGCATCAGCTTAACGCAACGCACGAGTTAATGACACTGACACTACAGCCAATGTTCTGAAGGCATTAGGTGAACGTTTTGATTACAAATACTTCGGTTTGTTATTATTTTAGTTTTGAAATCTCCTATGGGACAATAGGCCAAGTGAATACGCTGTGTGTTTGCCTTCCAGGTAGTGATTTTCAGTGACGGTGCAGATCCTTGCTCAGGACATTTATTCCCTTTGCAACTGCCATGGTTTTCCTGCAAGGTTGCTATTGTAAGGTTTCAGTGCTGAATGAATCGCAAAGCTTAAAAGATGTTTTTTGTAGGGAGAACGGGGCTACACGTTATCATTAGCCAGTTTTAAGTACAATTCACATGCAACCTGGCTCTTTTGTGGGTTGTTTTTTAGACTGAAGATGATTACACAGAAAGTTATGCAGCACATCCCAAACCGTCCGACGAAACAGAATCCATTTTTGTTGGGATAGCACCACTTTGTGGTCAGTTCCGGTAAGTGGCACTTTCCTACACCTAGCCAGGTTAGAATCAATGCTGCAACAGTTAGAATCACAGAATCACAGACTGGTTTGGGTTGGAAGGGATCTTAAAGCCCATCCAGTCCCACCCCCTGCCATGGGCAGGGACACCTTCCACTAGACCAGGTTGCTCCAAGCCTCATCCAGCCTGGCCTTGGACACTCCCAGGGATGGGGCATCCACAGCTTCTCTGGGCAACCTGTTCCAGTGCCTCCCCACCCTCTCTGTGAAGAATTTCTTCCTGATATCTAATCTAAACCTCCCTGATTTAGTTCAGTGGAAACAGGGAGGAAACTTTGTTTGTCTTGACTGAATATGAAATACTTTGGGAAGTATCAGATGTGGTTTGAAATCTGAAGTGTTTTCAGACAAAGAGATTGAATTAATTTCCTGTGTCGCTAGTAATCTCTACTTAGCGCTTAAAATCACGTTCATGCTTTTCAAAGAGCTAAGGTTTTGATTAGGGTGCCCGGTTAACCGTACCGGTACGCAAATGGTAAAGTAGATTTATCACACTTTTGTTCAAACCTGCATAGTATATTTAAACAATTTACTTTTGCTTATCTCAGTGCGCAATGTCTAAGAAGTTTTAAATCTTTTTGATCTTTTGTTTCAGAACTGAATCAATACTCATTAATAAATCATGGTTATAAAACTGTGTATTATACTCAGCTATATTATTAAGAAGAACAGATGCACCCTGTCTCACTGTGCATGTAGCTAATATAGAGAGTCCACAGAAAACGTCCGTAGTTTTGTAGCCTTATGCACTCTTTCTACTTCATTAGTTATAGATTCAGATGCGAATATTACATAGAAAGACGTCTTTGTACTCAAAATGTGCGTACAGAAATATCTCCATGCATCTCTCAGTAGGGTCATGCTGTGGCTGTCCTTGTCTTTCATTTCTGATTGGGTAGTGTTCTGGGGGGAAAAAAACCCAAACAAAAAGAGTTTTCTATAAATGTGTTTGTGAACTGAACATCTTTTCTGCAGGAAAGCTACAGGTCTATTCAACTTGTCTCAGTTTCCTTTTAAGCAGATAAAATCTATGTTTACTCCTAACAGTTGTTTGCATTACTCTAGGGTGTGAAGAAAAGCTGTACTTGTGAAAGGATTGGTCCATATTTTGCACACAAACTGACCAGACTTAAAGGTATATTTGGTTTATTGGAAACATTTGCATTTCCCTTTTTTTCTTTAAGCCTTTGTTAAATAAAATTATAATCAGTAGATTATCATTCCAGAGACTCTTCCCCTACTGTTCTAGAGTTACAGCTCTTTTCCCCGTTCTCTTTTTCTCTTTTTAATGAAAGAGTTTATCGCTATTTGACAATTTATTAAATTCTATTCATACTAAAAAAATAAGAAACCAATATTTAATCATGGGCAGGTTGGATGAGAATATTTTTAATACCTGTCCTTACTGCCCTGGGAGAGTATCTGTGCTTTTTCCTGTTTTCCTTTGTTTTTC